AGAAGTTTCCTAAGTAGCCACAAGGAGAGGAGCCTCACCAAATTCAATGAAGGAATAGGGCCTGGAGACCGTTGGCACCTTCTTGCCGTGCTGCTCATCAAACTCTGAGTGCAAGTCTTCCAGGTATGCAAAGGCCAGTTTCTTGGGGAATGCAGCTTCACACAGGACCAGGTAACACACTCCTTTCTCGATGATGTAGCTAAAAGAACATCAGACAGGGCATTAATCAATTAATTCTGAACTTATCCTACCAAACACCACCCTGCATACCTTTGTTCCTACAAGGCAATGAGACCTGGGTACGAGGACTTCCAGTTTTCCATGGCTGGATTGGGTGCAAACCTTTCTATAAAGCAGTGGCTTATTTTTCTTTTACCCAAAATGAATTTTCTTACAGCCTCAGACCCTACACCCCTGTCAACAGGCCTGAATCTTGATTTCACTGGAACAAAGGTGGCCTGTGAATAAAATCAGCTTAACAAAATACCAGCAACAAGAGAGTTATAATTTTGGAGTACAAAAAGGAGGACACCCTCCCTCCCCTCTGCAGCCAGGAGAAGGGAAGTACAAGAAAGTCTACCAGCAGAGTAGAGGGGAAGGTGGTTAACATCCCTCAGACCACACAGAACACAGAAGTACCTGAGGCTCACAAACGGGAAACCCTGAGATTAGGACACGCACAAGAATTTGGCCTCAGCATGCGACAAAGCCACCTGGTGACTGCCAGCTCTCCCTTTCCATTTTGGAGGGCTAGGGATGTCCTTCCTCCCCCAATACCAGTCTGCTGGTGGGGTGCTGCTATCCACATGCATCATCTCAAAGTCAGCTGGAGAAAAATACTGGTGCTGGATGGGTTCTGGTGGCCTTACCTATAGGTTTGCCATGGGTAGGTGTGACTGTGCCACCAGTTCTTTAGCTGAAACATGAAGAGCTCTAAAACACACAGTGAACCCTGCTGCTGTGATGCTGTTTGGTTTGCTCTGCAGCTGAGTGCACAGGGGTCCTCTCCTCCTCCTCTCACCGCCCCATCCCCAACTAAGTCTTGTTTGCAGAGGCTTAGTGCTGACCTTCTTTCAGTGTGAGCTCTGGTGCCTCTGCCAGACAGGAGAATAGGGGCTTTTCACTCTAATTCAGCTACAAAGCTTACTGAAATAAGGGATAAGATAGAACCAACTCTGAGATTATTTAGGCTTCACTATCACTGCCTGCTGCTGCACATTCCCAACGACATTTTCCTTCTCATTTAGTCAATATAAAAATAAAGGCAACAATATTCCCATCAAAACCAAGGGAGTGGAGACAGGAAATAGGCCTGCAAAAGCTTTTGCACGCTTATCTATATTCTTCAGGGTGGAATGTAAATGCTATTTTCACGTTACCTTCCTTTGACTTTCTGCATAATGCCATTATGTAGCAGCCTAGTTAGCATACAGATTAGCAGTGTATTAAAGAAATGATCCAGTCCTGAGGGCACCATAGATAGTAAAATAAGTAGCTTAAAATTTTGTTAATAGCCACATCAGACTTACAAAACAACTTCCTCCCACTCCCCACTGTTTTTCCAGATACCCCAACAGGTCCATGTCCTTTGGATCAGCCATCCTCAACTTGTTCCTGAGCTCAAGAGTATCCATTTCTCCTGCCTCTATATGGCCTGTGTCTAAACCCTGCCAGCCTTAAATCAACAACTCATCTACCCCAACCAAGAAACTTCAGCTGCTATAATCAGTTCCACGGTGTGTCCCTACGAGCCCATGCCTTTGTTCCTTTTTATGTCCCTCAGCTTGGACTGCAGCAGTGCCCAGGACTTATCCTACTGTACATCGTGCTTCTGTTCTTCTCTTGTCCCTGGAGACCTGCTTGACACATTGGAGTTGCTGCAAATCATCACAGGGAGCTTGATTTAGCCACTGTCATGATCAGCAGGACTTGAACTAACCTTTTTGAAATAAGAAAAACTTGTGTCAGATGTAAATTCTGACAGTATTGCTGGAGCAGCACTCTTCAGATGAGAGTACTCTGAAGAACATGTCCCATTGGCACAAGTCTGTTATCTCTGCCTGGGCCAGCTGGTCCTGCCTGGAGCTCTTCAGCTGGATTTCCCACTTGTTTTTCCCCAATGTGTTATCCAATGTGCTGGATTTAAAGTTGATCTGTCAGCACCACAGAGAGCAAGTTCACTTCACTCTGGCACAGATTCAGACAATTTTGCCAGCCTCAGAGCAGAGCTCCTGCACAGCTGGACTTCTCTATCTTACACCCTGTGTGCACCTCCAAGCTCCAGCACAGCATCTGCCTGGCATGTACTCACACAAGGGACAGATGTTGCCATTTGCCATAGTTAACTTCTGTATTCTAGATTCCTAGACACTGAGTACAGTCAGTAGGTTTCTTATAATCATGTTGGACATTTTGAGAGAGAAAAGCATTATGCTGGTAACAGTGGCAAAGGCCAAGGGTTGCTTTCAATATGACAGGTAAGAGCCACTTCAGCCATTCCCCAGCCAAAGGTCACCTGCTGACTGACAGCACAGCAGATGCCATCAGTGTTCCTGTACCTGCACAGCTGTGTTCCCCCAGAGCTGCAGCTGAAAGGGTGACACAGCTTTTGGAGTTGAAGCCTAAGCATTGAATTTGACAGAAATCACCTTAGTGGTCATAGTTGAAGCTTCACATTTCAGCAAGGCTAGGCTCTTCTCTGAATTGATGAAGCTAAAAATGTTCCAACACCACCTCAGCAAGTTCAGTAATATCCTCAGCCACACTGCTAACTCAAACCACGAAACGCTCTGTCCTGGTTTGTGCTGCCCTCAGCAGCCAGAGCTCTGATTTGGCAGAAAAATTGGTGTGCCGCATTAAGGACCAGCATGGACATCAGTCAGCGTTATTTTAGACTAAACCTCAAATTGCCACGTTGCTTTCCCCTCCTGCACTGTTAGCACAGGAGGGTTTCTGACCTGAAAGTATTCTCTTCACATAGGCCCTAACCTAACATCCCACCTCAAAGTAGGCAGCAGTGAGTGCTCTGCAGGAGCAGCTGCTGATGGCCAGTGGAACCTGTCTAGGGATTAACTCAACCCAAAGGGAGAAACTCTCCTCTCCTTGCCTGCCTGCCAGCCAGCCAGGTAACATGGCTGTCCCTTTGAGACAGCTGTCAAAACAGGAGCCTGCCCCAGCCCTCTCTCCTTGTCACAACTGGTGACATTACAGCCACCATTAAGAGGCTTTGATTTCCTGAGCACATGTTGCCACCTTCCCAAACATTGCTCTGCTTGCATCTGGAAGTAACTCAAGAAGGGATTTACTAGGACCTACACAGGCTCTTTCCCAAGGCTTCACTGCCAGTCAGAGCTACACCCATGCAATGCCAATGGAAACACTTGAAAAGAGAGCTTTTAAATGGTGGGAAGTTTTAACTTGTAGAAAAAAGACAAAGCAGCACTTTGCAGTTAATTCTGGCAACAACACTGAAACCTGACAGGAGACTGGACTACCCTCTGTCCACTACAGCTCCCTATCAAAGGCAACCAGAAGCCAAGAGAAGAGATTGTAAAACAATCTTGTTGCAGTTCTCATATGTAAGCCAACCACAAGAAAAGTAGCCCTCAAAACCTCACGGCTTCTGCCAAAGGTTGTCTTTCCAAAAAACTCCTGTTCCTGTCATTCCATGTCATTGAATCTCTGAAGGGACAGATGGGAGGTTTGCTAAAGGGCCCTTGTTATACGAGCAGAGACCTAAAGCCAAGCTTGCCTTGCATTCAAAGGCCATCTCCCCCTCATCCAGCCATAAACACACACCCAGCCACCAGGAATCGCTTGGAAATGGAGTGGGATCCTGCTGCTGGTGGCATGGCAGAAGTGGTGCCAAGTGGAGGAAATCTTGGCACACTGCTGTCAAAACTGCATCACTCTGCCTTGGTCATCTCACATGGCACCTGATCTCTTCTAACAATTATTCCTGCTCGTAGCACAGTTCTGAGTCCTGACAGGATCTTGACTAAGCTCTCAAGCATTGCTCTCCCATGTAATGACAGGTGACAGAACGAAGAATTTCCTTCCTCACACACACACACACACCTGCTCTCCTGCTTTTCACTGACTGTCAACTCTTCTCCTGCCCACTTGACTTGCTATTGATTAAGAAGGATGTCTGACCTGCACTCTCTGTAAGCTCTCCTTATTTTATATCCAAGCTCCCTTGCTAGTGTACTACTGGAGAATGCCAACAGTGCTTTCCACTTGAGAGTTCCCAAACAGCTTAGAAAATTAATTTAAGACACTCAATAAACCTAGCAACAATAAGACTAAATCCATAAGATGAAAGAAAGAGGTTTTGTCAGATATTAAAGGGATAATAATAATACCAAAACAAATCAGAGATGCTCCACGTGCTTCTAAACATGTGAAGCTAATGCATGAAGAGCTACACTCTCACAGGGTACAGTGGTACAGGGAGGAAAACCCTGTGCAAGAGAAGCTCATAGTGGTACTGCCAGACTGGTTTTATCAAAGGTATCTATTTGGAAAAAAGGTAAAACAAACGAGGTACTGAAGATGCAATGAAGGTACCTTAGAGGGTGCAAACAGACAAGCTTTAAAGGGAACAGAACTGTATTGTCCTTAGCAAAGGCAGAACTAATGATACGACTGAAAACCAAGTGCCAGGCAGCTGTGCCAAGCAGTGACAGCTCACACCCTCTCCCCTTTGAGCACCCATTGCACTTCAGCCAGCAGGGCAGGCGGATGAAGCAACTCACCTCTCCCAGGTAGCAACAACCCCTCACCCTGATCCACAGAGCTTTCACTTATTTCCACAGCAGAGAACCCCTTTCCCCCCACATCCCCTCCCGATACTCACTGGAAAGCCATGGCTCCTGCCTCCAGGGTGCACCTCGTCGGGGACTGGTCGTTCAGCTTGCGGAAAAGCTGCTTCGCTTGGCTCTGGTACTGCTGCAGATCGCGGCCTGACTGAGAAGGGAGGGAGCACAGACTGTCGGGACGGCACCAACCCGGGA